TGAAGCAGCCGACGATGCCCTGTTCTTCCTCCTTCTTGCCCACCTTCTTCCAAAGCAGATCGGACACATAAAAGCCTCTCACCCACCGGCCTTCTTTCTCCCTAACTACTTCCAAGCAGAAACCCCATTTCCCCTGTCTTCCTTTCTTTCTTTGTCTCTGAAGCAGCCGACCTCCCTACTTGCCCACCTTCGTCCAAAGCAAATCGGAAACACCAAAGCATCTCAGTCATCGGCCGTCTTTCTCCCTAACTACTTCAAAGCAGAAAAGCCCATTTCCCCTCACCGGAAAATCCCCACCAAAATCCCATTTCTCCTCCTGTGAGTGTCCTTCCTTTTCTCTGATTTTTTTTCTTTTTTGGTGGTGATGAATGATGATGGTTGGTTGGTAGTGTGAGTTTTGGTGAAAGCTGTAATTTGTAATCCCTTGTTGTTCCTTCTCTTCTTGCAGATCTGGGAGACGCGACGAAGCAGGGCATGGGTCGGTGAAGCCAAACGAAGCAGTGCATGGGTCGGTGAATACCAGAGGGGAGTGAAGCAGAGGGTGTTCCAGCCACCAGACTTTGGATTCTCGAAGCATTGTGCCATTCCATTGTCTTCAATTTCCAAGTACATAAACAGCACTTGCATTTAATTTTTTTCTGTTTTATAGTCTTGATTTTAAGTTTGTTTGGCGTTTGAGATTTCTATGATTATGATTTGTTCCTTTGTTTTGTGTTGATTGATTTCCCCTTGTTTTGTAATTGAAGATTTATGCATGAATTCATAAACCATGGTCATAATTTTTTAATTTGAGTTGTTCATGCAGTTTGAATTTGCGGTTGAGAATGCTATTAATCCTTGTTTAAACTAAAAATTGGGTTTCAAAGATTGAAACAATTTATTGGGTCTGTATGGCTTTTGAGAAAATGAAGAAAATCAGTAGAGGGAAATTTAACGTGAAAAGCAAAAGTTGAGGGACACATATTTTTACTGTGGTAGGAGATGAGGGGTTCTAGTTTTAGCTCTGTTTTTGGTGTTATTATGTGTGTCTATACTTCCATTATTCAACATTTGTTTTTATGTGTTTGTAGATAAGGCAAAAAAATTTTCAATATATAAGATGGCTGAAAAAAGGTCAAAGGCAGTGTGGGATGCATTTACAACAAAAATTTTCTGCAAGATATGTGTGGAAGAGGTTATTGCCGGTAATCGTCCTAATAGTACTTTTAATAGATTAGGGTGGACAAATGTGGAAAGAAAATTTACTGAAAGAACAAACAAGCATTATCTTTATAAACAATTAAGAAATCGGTGGGATACATTAAAAAGTGATTGGGTTTTGTGGAATCAACTCTTAAAGCGAGAAACAGGACTCGGGTGGAATCATGAAAAAGGCACAATTGATGCTACTCCTCAACGATGGGCTGAATTGAAAGCGGTTAGTTGTAGTCTTTTATTGTTAATGATTTTTAGTTTTTTGCATGTGATTTTGTTAATTTTAACTTTAAATTTCTAATATGTTATATATTTATTATAGGAGAACAAAGAATATGGTAAATTTGAGCATCATGGATTAGAAAACACAGTGGAGTTGCAGCAAATGTTTGACAAAATAGTGTTCACCGGTGAAACTGCATGGACTCCAGCTGCTGGGCCTATTCCTCCAGTACAACAGAATGTGGGGTTTGAAGATGCTGTTGATTTGGAAGAAGGAAGTGGTGATTCTGATGAGGTGAATGTCATCCCAACACAA